AAACCCCCCCCCCCCCCCCCCCGGCCAGTTCTGAAGAAAAAAATCTGAAATCTAAAAACGCCATTTCGTAGGGTATAACCATATCTATCAGATCATCGAATTGGGATTCGATTGGATCATTATTATAGCCAGATTGAAGAAATAATTTTCAGTGACTGCGCCCACCCCGTCCAGTAGCTTTTTTAATTTTTGCACATTCTCGCACTGACACTCTGCTTCGTGTGGTGTGCGGCTCTATTGGTGGGGTCGAGCTAAAAGGGCGTGTTGGCGTGATAAATGATGTATATGTAGATGATATATGTTGAGAAATGTAAAATTTAAAATTTGCATAAAACCACTGAGGTACAGATATTCTACAGAGTACCGGGTATAAAAGTTGAGACGCGTAAGAAGCGTCTCACACGTTCCTTCTCGTTTTCATTATCATAAACGAACTCTGAAACCATATCGACCTGTGATGTAGTGTGTAATGGCTTATTGGAAAATATTTAATATTAACTAGCAATTATTTCGAATGTTCGGTTTGTATCAGAAGTTAAATCCCATTAACCAACACATATATCAGTCACACTTCTAGTTCCAGCTGAGATCGTAGCTCGTGATGTTTTATACATATGTACATATGTATGTATGTATGTACACGGGTTTTTGGTTTACTCAGACAGTGCACATGAGATGATAGCTCCCCTAAGGTGGCTAACCACGTCTCCAACACTGTATGTGGCATTGCCTCCTCCTCCCTTTCCAGTCCGATTATGACTTTATGACGATTATGGTTTTCATTGGCAACTTTCCACTGGCAATATTCTGAACTATTACTGACCTAGGGCAAAGCCTCATGTTCTTATATAATCAACCAACTTTCCATAAACCATAAAAAAAGAAAGTCAGGCCCCAAAAGAGAGTGAGAAGCGAGAGAGAGAAAGGCAGTGACAGAACTGAGAAAGGAATACGGACAGACGCAGATTGCGACTGCCGACAATTCCGGCTCCCGACAGAGAACGCCCACAGAGTAGGAACCCTAAAGAGTGGCTGGCTGAGAGGAAGACTGCGGGAACGCGTCAGCGTTACCAAATGCTTCCGCTGCATAAAGTTTTGGCACATGGTCAGACAGTGCAGGAGCCACACCGACCCGTCAAAGCTGTGCCGAAATGTGGTAAGGAGGACCACATTGTAAAGGACTGTGACCAGGACCCTCAGTGCATGCTATGTTAAGGGAAAAAGGGAGACTGGAGGCACATAGCAGCCAGCGGCAGGTGTCCCCTTTTCAAGGACTCTAGCTCTAAACATAAACCACTGCGAGGCAGCCCAGGCACTGCTGAGCTAGGTCTCCAGGGAGAGAAAGCCGGACGTGGTTCTCGTATGCGATCCATACAAACCGGTACCTGGCAGTGGATGGATCCACAGCAAGTGTAGAAAGGCCGCCATCTGGGGTGTTAAGACCCCGACACCTCGAAGGAGGGCCTCGTGCGAGCTAGGTTCGCACTGGTATATGCCCCAATTCCAAAATATGGAAAAATTTGGCAAACATTGCTGAAGACTCGGGCTTTTGACTTCGGACTTGCGAAGTAGAATGGAGCCAAGAGACGAACGCACAAGGACCCTCATGTTGGAGCAGTTCTCGCCTGACGTCATTGGTCTGGCTCAGGATGGATCTAGGATGCCCTTCAGTAGAGCGTGACGATTGTCAATTATAGACTTGACCTTCCTAAGCAGTTCCCTATGCAGACACTGCACTTGGCGAGGAGCTCACCTTCGGCGACCACCGGGCGATCCACAGATCATCGGAAAATGGAAGGATAGCCCGGCTATATATATATGTATGTATGTATATCTATTTTCGAACACAAATATACATTATACCTTATTTACTCTTAGAGTACCGGGTATAATAAACATAATCGACTGAGCATCATTTTGAGCATTTTTTGTGTTTAACCAAAAACGGACGAACACACTAGAAAATTCTTTGTGAATCTGTCAACTTTTCTTGGACATCAATTCTACGAGTGAGTGAGCTTATGTACATATGTACTATGTATGTATGAGCAAATTAATGAGTGCATCAGTTTGTGAATCACTTGTCTGTCCCATTTTGCCTCCTCAAGCAAAGCTTCGTTTTTTTAATGTTTTCGCAATTTTAATTTAAAACAAAACGAAAACGAAAAAGCCTTCAACAGCAGACACTAACACATTTGAAGCTCACACTGTAACGTAATATCAAACGCAATCGAATATGTATCTATTGAAAAGTAAAACAAAAAATAGATATAATAAAATGTTTCTTTTCCTTGTTGTTACTTTTTCTCTTTTCTCATCTCGTCTTGATTATCTTTTCTGGCTCTGTAGATCATGGTGAATTAGCAATGTTACTAATTTCACCATGCTGTAGCACAGCAGAGCACAGCTTCTTTAGTGCTGTAATCCTTACAGTGCGAATTGCTCTTCGCGTCTTTCCCTGTTCTGCTGCTGCACTGCATTTGATTTTTATTTGAACCTGGATAAGTTCTGGCTGCATTTACTATTTTTGCTACTTCATGTGTGTACATGTTGGTAGGTATGTTTGCATGTACATACATATGTATATACATCAGTTGCGTTCGCCTCATCATTATTATTTAAAAAAACTTTAAAAAAAAAGGTACAGATGTTCTGCTGAGTACCAGGTATAAAAGTTGTGACGCGTAAGAAGCATCTCACACTTCCCTCCCCGTTTTTGATTACGCTGCTACATCTTCCGCTGTCGCTGTTTGTATTTTCGGTTCCTGCTGCTTCTGCTTGTGTTCCATCTCTCCCTCTGCTTACATCATAACAGTTATTACGTTTGGCATTGAAACGAGTTTGGGTTGCCGGCAATGAAATTGCAACAGCCACAGGCCAGCAACACCAAAAGCAGAGACAGATGGCGAGTAGCCGGCTACTGCTCAAGTATGACTAAGTGAGACAGCGAGAGATAGAGATTGAAAGAGACACAAAAGAGCGGACAAAGGCAGACAAGTTTTTTTTTTCGTTTTAGGCCTAAAAGGCGCTGATCGTGTTTTTGTTATATACATGTTATGTACCTTCCATAAAATATAGTACATAAATAAGGAAGGTGCAGATTGCGCACAAAAGAACAGAGAATTCTCAATAAATATTGATGGCTCTATAGTAGATTTTAACTCGCTCCATTGCTTGTGTGAGTGGAGAAGTGTGAGTGTGTGAGTGTTCCAGAGTGGCTTAGCCGTGTAGGTTATGTTTTCAAAAATATTTTTTTTTGTAGCCGTGTTTTAAGTTTATTTAAGATCTGTCTTTTTCGCAGATTATTATTAAAATTCCTCTTTTGGGTACTTGGCAATATTATTTCAGTTATCTCTTATCGGTTGTTGAGTCCGTAAATCCAAAGCAGGCAACGTTCTGGTTACTCATTATCTTACTCTTCACAATTTTCTGTTTTATAAATATTGTAATACAAACTCTGACCGGTGCGGCAGGAAGAATATTTCTGAAATGAATTCTGAAGGGTGTATAAAATTCGGCAAAGTTCCATTTCCTTTAATTTTTTTTTCTGTTGTAACGAAAAATTCAGTTAATACACAGATCATCATCGTGTTCGTTTCCTTAGGTAAGTTCAATATTTTCTAAAGCCAACGTTTAGTTGGCTAGTTGGCTTCCTTAGCCAACGACATGTTTCAGATATTAAAATCATGACTTATAAGAACTAATACATTCGACAAGCTTAAACAAATTGGCATTATCTTCAAAGCACAATCCAAGCTAAATCGTTTACAAATAATTGTAGTAGTACCACCTGTCTACAAGCACTCTACATCTAATGGGGGCACTAGGTAGCTCTTGCAACATACTACTCACAAATATTCGAATTTAACTCAATCTCAAAGTGTCATCGTTGCCGTCGTCGTTGTGGCTGTTGTTGCGTCCGTCGTCTTTCCCCATTTCGAGAGGCGCAAAGCGCAGGTGGGCCACACGAAAAGAGCTTTCCCCATTGCCATAAATAACAATTAAAAAATAATAATAAAAAATGTAAATGGAAATACTTGTACAAAAACCGTGGGCAGACACAACAATCACTTGAAGAGTTTTTATCGTACATGTTTATGGAGATATTGCGATTTCACTTAAAGACAACTGAAATATGAATGAAATATGGGTTAAGCCCAAAACGAACGCATAACGAAAGCAGCCAATACTCTTTTTTGGGTCAACAGTTTTGGTTCAAGCAGAAACAACAGTCAAGGTCAATATTTATGTAAGATTTACACATGTAGCATATCATGAATCTGGAGAAGAATATGAACATATTCGTATGTATGTATGTTATCTGTATGTCCATGTGTACTTTGCAGAAACAATTTGAAGTTGGAAGGAACATTTGTAGGGCATTGAATACTGCTACTACTACTACTACACCCATCACAGAATATGCAATCATGGGGTAGTGACGTTAGGTCCACAATTTTTGCCTAGACATGTCCACTGAACTAAGAGTCTACCAGAGTACCAGTTAAGATAACGAATTACCTTACAGATTTAGTCAAGTGCATACTAGTGTGTACTAGCACAGGTACCCAAACCTAAGCTTGCCCTTCCTGCAATTACTCCTTCGGATAAGCCATTGCATATGTACATTTGTATCTCTTTTTATCTTCATATCGACACACGTGTGCCGCTGCTCCAAAAGCTGTACCGTTTTTTTTTTTTCAATTACAGCATTTTGTCTAACTATTTTGGGTTTTACTGAAGGAATATTATCGCTTCTGAATATATCCCTAGGACCTTCTTCAGTTTTAATACCAGTGATTGCCAAGTCCGAATCTTACAACATGTCTGAGCTGTAGATGAGTTTATTTATTATCATTATTTGAATGTTTTTAATTCTTAATAGCGACAGTGATTGCTACTAATATTTGTTTAAAAATTAATTTTAACATATTAGATCATTTATCTGGGAAATTCTCATAACAAATGCATGACTAAACAACTACTTATGTGCAAACGTAGTACACAAAATAAAGCACTTCAACATGATCCGAGCAGACTGCCAGTCACGATGAAAGCGTTAAATTGGAAAAACGATCTATTCCATACCCCTAACTATTACTCTTAAAGCAGACGCCGAGTGATGTATTGAGAGTGATAGTTATGCAAAAGGAAAGAGGCAACCTTGAACTGGAAATTAATTTCAATTTCAGTAATCATAACACGGGGTAACAATGGGGCCGAAGAGAACCACAAATACAATCGACTTTGGGGCCAGAGGAAACCTGTTTCTGTCTCTGTTTCTGTTACTCAGAGTCTAGATCTGGTCTGATCTCCAGCTAGAACCAGAGTCGGGGGTATCGAAAGTTGTCTATACTCACTTGAAACCCTTGTCATCGTCAATGCCATTAGCAACACCGTTTGTGTTTGAGACTTGATCGTCCTTCTTCATGCCGTTTGTATCGAACGGAGAATTAGCCTTTTCCTTATCATCATGTGACTGCAATTTCGATGTATTAGTAATTAAAATTCAAAGAGATTCATTTCACCTGAGAACTCACCTTATCGTTGTCGTCAAACTTGAGGTTGCGCAATCGCGGCTCTAGACCGGACAAGGGGCTCTCCTTGTTTGTAGGCGATCCGCTCAAAACATACTCAACCATTTTGGCGCATTGTGAATCCCGGGGACTGAAATGTTAATTATTTAATTAATTATTAATTGGAATTATGCTAACACTAGCGTAAGATAACGGTCTGTAACAGTCTGTTTAAAATGAAGCAAGTGGTTTGAAAATATTGTTAAAGCGGGAGTAAATGTCATGTAATTACAATAAATTTAAATATATTTAAACATTGACATGATTCTAACCTTAATATGCCCGCGTTGCCACTGTTGGATGTATCGGAGGCTCCACCGTGTGCCGCATAGCCGCGTGATCTGGGCTGTACCAGGATATTCTCGCCCTGCGTGGACCAGGTGTGGTCCTTCCATACCGACGAAGGATCGCTGACGCCGGGTATCTGAAGTGGATTCAGAGGTCCACCCGGTGCGCTGGATGTGCCTTTTCCATCCGACTTCTCCCATAATTTCTTGGCAGTGGATGTGGTAATCTGTAAGGGCCAAAAGAATAAGACAAAATTATAATTTGCATGTCCATAAATTGAGCCAAGCTTAGCAGAGCATGACAGCTGTCTCTAGCTACAAAGTTATATTCATTTGTTCCCCTGTCAACAACTTGATTTTCTCATAATTTGTCACTAATTTATTCTCTTTCTCTCTCTCTCTCCCTCCCTCTCACTTTCTCTGCTCACTATTTCTCTTCATCCCTTTCTGTCCACTCTCCACCAGTTGAGAGCCAAGTTGAATACCTCACATTTAGCCGACATTTGATGACAACTTTGTCCAAAAGTTTTCAGTGAACCGAAAAATTGTGAACCTTTTGGATTTGGGGAAACAGCTTAAGGATCAAATTATGAAGTTATATTAGTTCTGGAATGTTCCTCTACGTTGTTTTTCTATTCATAAATATTGCCACCAACTCGTATTGGTTTTGAGACAAACGAGAAGGGACGTGTGGACCTTAGCGGTGTTTGGTCAAGTTTTAAATTGTTTCTTCATCTGTCATCTACATATACAACAGGAAACTTTTCCGACCCCATAAAGTATATATATTCTTGATCAGCATCAATAGCCGAGTCGATAGAGCCATGTCTGTCTGTACGTCGTAATGAGCGCCTAGTTCTCAGAGACTATAAGAGCTAGAGCCACCAAATTTTGGCTCCAGACTGATGTATGCTCACACGGTTTCAAAAATTAGCAACAAAAATTAACAAAAGAACAACAATATTTATCCAATCGGATTCCAATTTGGTGATCCGATAGATATGGCCATTCCCTATGGAATGGCATTTTTAGTTTTCTTTTATCTTCAAAATTGTAGGTTTGGGAGGTTTTCGCCCTTTTGCGGGGGCGGAAGGGGGCTTGGCTCATTTTTTAAATACACTTGTAACAGTGTGAGCATACAGAAGTCTGGATGAAAAATTTGGTGGCTCTTGCTTTTATGGTCTCTGCGATCCAGGCGCTCAACAAGACGGACGGACGGACGGACAGAAAGACATGGCTCAATCGATTTGGCTATATACTATATATATATATACTTCGGAAAGGTCGGAAACGTCTCCGTCTGTGTGTTACATACATTTACTCTTCGAGTACCGGGTATAAAAAACGAACCCAAAAACGATTTGGTAGGAGAGTCACATTATCACTGCAATCATTCCAGGAGCAGATTCCCACTGAAAGCCATTGCAAATATCACAGAAATCACATCCGCGCATACGACAACAAAAAAACAAAACACAATACCAGCTACAATTAAATATCAACGGAGCGTTTCAAACAAATTTGTAATTAACTTTTTACCGCTCATTTCTCTCGTCTTTGTCTCCGCTTTCCGCACTTTTTGCAACCATTCCCAAAGGTATTTCCTTGCGTCATAATGCGACAGAATAATCCTTGGCACTCGCTGTACTCCATCCACCCACACAAACAAACACATACTGAGCATATCCTGACATCCAGTTTAAATATTTAATCGCTTATCAACTGGGATTGCCGAGAATCTCTCAACATTCTCACACCAATACCAGCCTGTTTATCCCGCTCTCCTCCGACAGACGGAAACTGCTCGATGTCGAGCGCTGAGTAAGCGCAAGGCAGGGGTCGAGTCTCCGCGGAAAATATAAGTCTACACTCATTTGAGAACAGGGTAAAGAAATACCACAAACACAACCAATTTTAAAATTTGTACTCTTAAACCAATTTATGAATTTATTTCATTGGAGATGCGTTACAAATATTCAACTCATTTTAAATGTACTCTCTTCGATGGTATAACACACGGAGAGCGGGACAACAAGAGTCTTGACTTTTGGGAAGAAAAGTAGACGAAAAAAAAACAAGAGAAAAAGTGCGAATTGCAGACAAGAAAAAGTGTTAACGAGAAGGGACGTGTGAGACGCTTCTTACGCGTCACAACTTTTATACCCGGCACTCAGGACTACATCTAGATGTAGAAGACATCGCCAACCACTAGATATCGTTCACATTACAGAACACGTAGTGAAAAGCCTACTAAATAAAATGCATCAAAAAAGTGGATCAGTTAATCGTATTTTCCAATTTATGAGATATTTAAAACAGCAATCAAATTGGTACTTTTTCCCTGCACATTCTGTGCAATAATGACCGCTAGGTTTCACAGCAGATTTTTCGAAAGTGGCGCCATCTATGAAAATTTCTTGTACGCAACTTTGATGGTCACTCTTTTTCTAATACAGAGCGCTAACCGAGTCTTGGTTTTAACTTTTAAAAATTAGCTTTTGGCCACTGTTTCCGCAACTCCTTGCAACCAGTTCGGAATCAAAATCTCGAAATAAAAAGCCAAGTGCTGCTGGTTCGACCGAGTCGGAATTCAAATAAATTTAATCTCTTCTTCTTTTCAATTTCGATATTCACCAATTAAATGCATGTTCTTCCTCTTTCTCTATCGTATTCACATATTACATGTATGTTCTATAGCAACAAACTTCTGTCAGTATGTCGTAAATGCAACAATTCAATATCTTAATGCTACAAATTCATTTTACTTATACAAAATACTAATTGCTCCCCGCCAAAAGCCCTTTGCGCTAATTTGGCGTAAACAGCCACCAAAACTGGTCATTGGGACAATAGTGCATCTGCACCTCAGCGGCGTTTTGTCAAATTCTGCAGACTCGCGGCAGAGGCAGCGATCGCACACAAAAAAAAAAAACAAATAAAAGCTGCGGGACGGGGTGGGTTAAAAGTCGGAAGAGGAATCAGAAGCAGAGTGTGAATGAGAGAATGTAAAAAGAGCAACACAAGCTGCGGGACAGGGTGGGTTTAGCCACTGGAAATTAATTTCTCCATTGTGGCTATAATAATGATCCGATCGGATCGGTGAACTGATTGATATGGCCATTTCCTACGGAATGGCGTTTTTAGTTTTCTTGTATCTTCAAAACTGTAGATTTGGGAGGTTTTCGTTCTTTTGCGTTGGCGGGAGGGGGCGTGGCTCATTTTTGAAATACACTGATTTCAGTGTGAGCATACAGCAGTCCGGAGCCAAAATTTGGTGGCTCTAGCTCTTATAGTCTCTGAGAACTAGCCGACAAACAAGACGGACAGACGGATAGACGGACGGACGGACAGACAGACATGGCTCTCTCGACTCGGCTATTGATGCTGATCAAGAATATATATACTATATGGGGTCGGAAACGCTTCCTTCTGTGCTTTACATACAACCGTTATTCCCCACAAATACAATATACCCTATTTACTCTTCGAGTACCGGGTATAAAAACTAACAACAACTGCAACAGCAAACTGCTGACGCAACATTAGCCGTAAATATGGGCCAGAGCTTGCATGAAAATGAATGAAAATGGATTTATGCGAGTTTACAGCTCTACCGAAAAAATATACAAATTATTTAAGTGAAATTCAGAAAGAAATAATTTTAAAATAAAACCAAACATAGAGTGGGGACAGAAAAGTAAGAAACGAGGAGGGAAAACAAAAATTAAGGTGCCAAGCTAAAATCAACAATAAAACAATAATGACGATGAAATATACGCACGATCTCTTCAAAATGAATAAAATTAACTCTTAATCGCACAATAAGTGGAAAACAGAATATAAATATGAATGACATGAAAAATCAGATCAGAAATATTCTCATACATATGTACATACGTGATCGTATATACAGCCCATATAATAGGCTATTAAGCCCTTAGTATAAACAAATAATGTTCTACTTTTAATAATATTATAGCTAACATAAACACTTTCTATACACATTTACCATAAGTGAATGGGCACATTCGTTTTGCATTACACTAGCTACGTACAGAGTTGCTGATCTAGCATTTTTACGACGCCTGTGTTTTGTTTTTTTTTTGTATAAAAAATCGGATGCCCGGTACAACAAAACTCAAATCGATAAAGTGACAGAAACGTGAATAGCACTACCCGACACCATCTTTTCGCTTCGAGCCAAACCAACTTTTTGATCGATTTTGGGCTTTAAACATGCTTTATGATAATTTTTTGTTTTTCTATTGCAGAACTTTTTTTTTAAAGAAATAATAATAACTGGTATTTTTGAAATACACTTGTAACAGTGTGAGCATACAGCCATCTAGATACAAAATTTGGTTTCTCTAGCTTTTAGTCTCTTAGATCCAGGAGCTCAACAAGACAGATGGACGGACAGACAGACATAGCTTCCTGTCTGGAAAATATTAAGCTTTTGATATACAAAAATGTTGACTTAAAAAACTTACGGAAGCTCGGAAAAATGTATCCTGGGTTCTTTACTTCTGGTGTGTGGTCCAATTAATTCCGCGTCGTTTATCGAATTGCTCATTAAAATCTATGGAGAAACGCCCGATCTACACTAAACCCTTCATTTTCCGTTAAATACCGACAGAGTTTAGGATTTTTATACCCGGTACTCGAAAAGTAAATGGGGTATATTGTATTGGTGCACAAAGTGGATGTATGTAACACACAAAAGGAAACGTTTCCAACCCCATAAAGCATATATATTCTTGATCAGCATCAATAGCCATCAGACTGATATATGCTCACACTGAAATAAGTGTATTTCAAAAATTAGCACCGCCCCTTCCGCCCCCGCAAAAAAACCTCCCAAAGCTACAATTTTGAAAATAGGGGGATGACCATATCTATCATTTCACCAAATTGGGATCCGATTGGATCATTATTACAGCCACAATGAATAAATTAATTTGCAGTGGCTAAACCCACTCTAGCAGTTTTTGTTGTTTTTTTTTCACATTCTCTCATTCACACTCTGCTTCTGCAATGTGCGGCCTCTGCCGCGTCTCTGCCTCTTCGGTGGATTTGCAGTGTGCGGCTCTAGGGAAGAGGGGCGATCAAAAGGAGCGTGTGGGCGTGAGAAGTGTTGTAGATGTAGATGACAGATGAAGAAAAAATGTAAAATTTGACAAAAAACCGCTAAGGTACAGATGTAGTACTGAGTACCGGGTATAAAAGT